TTTTACTATATTCACTAATTGTTTTGTAGTTATCTGGGTACAGTGTATTGGTGCCTCGTAGAACACGAGACATGTTTTGCCGTCATAGATCATAAGGGTCCGTTATCACCCATGTTTTAATTGCCAGTTTTAAAATGCACCGTCATGATACTTACTATCGAACATGGTTTTTGAATATCTAGATTGCATGTACTCATATAGACAGAGATACGTGCCATTGGATACGCATCATCTCGTTCCTTTTGGAATTACCTCAGTTTTTTTTTTATTTGATAGGAATAATCTAAAAGATTTACGAGTGAAAATATTGGTTTACTACTGTTGACTCTTGTATTTTTACCTTAACTATTTAGTGACTTTGGTATTCAACCTTCGTATATCATTTGCAACAAGAATTTTTTAAAACAAGTTTCGCAGCCCCTGTTTGGACCTGGAACCAACATGTCAATTCAACAAAGATGATAGCGGATATGTTCCTAATGTCGTAACTACAATCCCGTCCCCTTTTCACGAATGTGACCTACCGAATTAGACTATTTACCGAGTGTGTACTAACATGAGCAACACGACGGGTGCCACATGTGGAGCAGGATCTGCTTACCCTTCCGGAGCAGATGAGATCACCCCCAGTTTTTGGTGGGGTTCGTGTTGCTTAGTCTTTAGTTTTCTATGTTGTGTTTTGTGTACTATTGTGTGTCTTTTTGTCTTTTTCTTTTTTAGCCATGGCGTTGTCAGTTTATTTTCGATTTATGAGTTTGAATGTCCCTCTGGTATCTTTCGCCCCACTTTTCTTAGCTCACCAAGGAAAGACAGAAACAGAGAACGATTCAAATACAGTCATAGGGGAATTGTATGTTTTCATATTGAGAGTAGCAAGCATTCTCTTAACAATATAGAAAACAAACAGAACTGTTTCTATTTAGACAAACTTGTAGTTTATTGTCAGTTTCAGTCAAACTAGAATTGATAAAAGAAACTTCCGTCATCAACCCTTACCCTATCCCTGTAAAAATAAAAATACTCCGAATGGTAATCAGGTTAACATATTGTATAGACACTCTATTATTGAATATTATATGTTGATCTCAAGAAGTCTTTTGGTGTTGTTGGATTTATGTCACATTGACATATATCCCACAACTACTTTAATCATACAAGGCGACTCAGCACAAATGTATAATACCGTATTATTCTACACTACTAGTATCTAAATACTTTTGAGAAATAATCCTATGTCTTTATTTATTAATTTGACATTCATTTCGGTGATACGACCATGTTTTATATTTTAGACTTGGTAACTCTCATCCAAGTGCAGAATTCCCAACAGTGATCTACCTTTGATAGTAATTTGACCTTTGACCTTAAGACTATTGGACAGGAACTAGAATTTAATTTCACTCACGAGTTTACCCTCAATGTCATTATCGTTTGTAACCACTGGGTCGATGTCTCTGCTGGTGGACATTTTGTCCCCGAGGACATCATCCGCCCAGTAGCAAAATTGCATGAATTCACGAAGATCTAACAGGATACTAGCTCGGACGTCGCCCAGTATAAAAAGGTCCGAAACAGACGTCACAATGGACACGGTGTCGTCTGATAAGGCAGGTGTCCCCTCATCACCAGACATGACAAATATCCCAAACATGACTCATTCAGATCATCATACTAGTGACAATAGCAATAGTACACATACACAGCCATGTTCAGTTCTCCTTAAAGACATTTTGGATTTTGATGACTCTGAACAACACTGTCTCATTTCGATTGGTGGAACTAATGGCTGCAAAACTTGTGAAATTTTAAAAACAGATGCTCAATTCACTAGCAATTTAACTAAAAAGTCTTATTTTACTAGAAGTTACGATGATCTGAATTGTAAATCTATAAATGTCGTCTACGGATTAGAGTGTAACCTTTGCGGATTGGTTTACGTCGGTGAAACGAAAGGAAGGCTAAACAAACGTATGTGCGGCCATAGATCAGATATCAACCTCAATGCAAACGACATTCTGTACCAGCATTTTAATCAGCCTGATCATTCCATCGTTTCTATGACAGTTATTGTGAAACTACCTATTCTAGAGGTGGCGTGAATCAGATGTGGATACTAAAAAAATCCAAAGTTCTTTTAGAGTACATACAATCTAAGTCTCTCTCATCTTGCAATAGTATTAGAACATTTGACTTTTCTACACTTTACACAAGTATTCCACATTCCAAACTTAAAGACAAATTGAAAGAGTTGGTATTACTTTGTTTCATTAAAAAGAATGGCGAACGTAGATACAAGTATCTTGTCTCAGGGAGGGATAAATCCTAAATCCTACTTTGTAAAGAATCACTCTGATTCAAACAAAAAATTCTCTGAAAAAGAGGGACGAAAGATACCAGAGGGACAGTCAAACTCATAGATCGAAAACAAACTGACAACGCCATGGCCAAAAATAAAAAGACAAACAGACAAATAATAGTACAGATGACACAACATAGAAAACTAAAGACTAAGCAACATGAACCCCACCAAAAACAGGGGGTGATCTCGGGTGCTCCGGAAGGGTAAGCAGATCCTGCTCCACATGTGGCACCCTTCGTGTTGCTTATGTTATTACAAATCCGGTAAATAGTCTAATTCGGTAAGTCACATTCGTGAAAAGGGAAGGGTATTGTAGTTACGACATAAGGAACATATCCGATATCATCTGTGAAACGGTTATTCCATAACGGTCAACCAACTCGTGATGGCGTCCGTAAAATTTACGAAGGGATGATTTCAACTTCACCATTTGGAACTCTTGGCTTAATAGCTTCCTTGTGAGCAGCAATCCTCTATCAAGGAAATCATGATAAGAAACACAAGCCCGGGAATATCGTATCAATTGGGAGATATATACTCCGTATGCAGGCGCTGCTGGAATGTTGCTACATAGAAATGGAAAGTTCACAATTGGGAAGCTGAAATCGTCTCTTTTGTCGTAAAGTTTTGTTTTCAACCGAACTGACATTATCAAGATGCTTGATTTCTTGATTGACAACATATTTGTTACGTTTGGAGGACGTGTTTTTTAACAGACTGTCGAAATTCCAATGGGAACCAATTGTGCCCCTCTTAATAGTTTCTTGCCGACTTGTTTCTTTATTCTTATGAGGCTGACTTCATACAGGAACTTCTTAGGAAGAAAGATAAGAAGTTAGCCATATCCTTTAACTTTACGTTCCGCTATATAGATGATGTTCTCTCACTAAATAATACAAAATTTGGTGACTATGTTGAACGAATCTATCCTATCGAACTAGAGATAAAGGATACTACAGATACAGTTAAGTCTGTCTCATGTCTTGACTTACATCTAGCTAGAAATTGACAATGAGGGTCGATTGAAAACAAACTTTACGACAAAAGAGATGATTCTGCTTTCCAATTGTGAACTTTCCATTTCTATGTAGCAACATTCCAGCAGTGCCTGCATACGGAGTATATATCTCCCAATTGATACGATATTCCCGGGCTTGTATTTCCTATCATGATTTCCTTGATAGAGGATTGCTGCTCACAAGGAAGCTATTAAACCAAGAGTTCCAAATGGTGAAGTTGAAATCATCCCTTCGTAAATTTTACGGACGCCATCACGAGTTGGTTGACCGTTATGGAATAACCGTTTCACAGATGATATCGGGTAAGTTCCTTATGTCGTAACTACAATACCCTTCCCTTTTCACGAATGTGACCTATCGAATTAGACTATTAACCGGATTTGTAATAACATAAGCAACACGACGGGTGCCACATGTGGAGCAGGATCTGCTTACCCTTCCGAAGCACCTGAGATCACCCCCAGTTGTTGGTGGGGTTCGTGTTGCTTAGTCTTTAGTTTTCTATGTTGTGTCATCTGTACTATTATTTGTCTGTTTGTCTTTTTATTTTTGGCCATGGCGTTGTACGTATGTTTTCGATCTATGAGTTTGACTGTCCCTCTGGTAGCTTTCGTCCCCTTTTTGTCGACTATTCCTGTTTACCTTAGCTTAATAGGGATTTTTGAATTGTTAGCTGGACTAACACGGCCTTCTTGAGTCCACAGTAAAATAACACTAAATACGTCGGTCTTCGAGGGTAGTAGTGTTTATATTTTATGTAAAAAAATAAATTTGATATAATTTAGAACTTAAAACTTGATTATGCAAAGATATTCTTTTTACCTTGTTTATTTGATCGTCCATCTGACTTAACATAAATATCAGCGAAGAAGATTTGAATATGGGAAATACATATTATGATTACTATTGTTTGGTGTGTTTGTGAAGATTTCTCCATGTCATAGTTGCTTTTTTATCATGTTCGTGGATTTTGTGCAAACTGTATTATCAGGGGCAGATAGCAGTAAAAGTAAATATTCTTTTTAATTAAAATTCTATAGTGTTAGAGAAAAAGGTGCAATATATGCATAAGATGTGAATAAAGTATCTGGAAAAGGACTTTGCTACCGGCATCATTTAAAAAATATCGAATAAACCATAAATACATTATTTGTATTAACGACAAGCATGATAATATTTGCTGATTAACCATAGTTTCAGAGAAGATATATTCATGACATAATTGGTTTGGAACAATAGTATTCAGTTTATGAAATTAAATATATAATTGTCATATAATCAATTTTCTCTCATTAAAATTCACATTAAATAGGAAACAAATTCAATGAACAAAAATCAATAAAACATGTTTAGTTTTGTTTTATGTATGTAGAAGTTGTCGTTAGTCGTCAACCAAACAAAACAGTTGTCAGAAATATTTTAAGCTATATAAACTCAAATAACACGAAACATCCGTGTAGCACAAACCCGTATCTACCACATTTTCTCTTTTTATATATGAATCTATCCTAGATTTCACAACGTTATTAATCTTTAGGATTTTCTTTGATATGACCGATAAAATCTAGGACATCGTATAGAACAAGATTTTTTTTTAAAAGGAAACACTTGAAGTTGGAGAACTGATGTGAAACTTATCTATGAACATTAATAAAGAAGAAGACTGCAATTATATAGGAAATTTACGGTATTGCAGTTATTATATCGTGTTCTTTATCCTTTTTACTATTCTGATGTTCACGTTTGTAGTAGATATTTTGGCTTTGTATCTAAATATTGTGAAGAATTCTTGTGTATTAAGTAGACCATTTTATTTTTTGATTTATTGATACTATAATGGTTTTGGGTTGGAATCAGGCGACGCAAGTCATAGACTTTAATTATTAACCAATTCGTTGTTCATGTTTGATATTTTATTTGATTGATTTTATATTTATTCAATACATGATCATGGGAGGATTAAATTGATATACATGTAATATATTAGTTCAGTGAAATTACTTTCATTGCTCTACTCACTGAGTGGTACAGAGACGAGAAACGATTTCAAAAAAAATCTGGGCGCTAAAATGATGACAACAACCCAATTTTGCTCTTTGTTCAGACGAGTTTATTAAAATACAAATGTAAATCTATTCTATTGTAACAATTATCACGCTTACGATACGCATTAGTGCATTAAATGACGACTATTACTTGTAGAAAGCATGCTCCGGCTGTTTGAAATAATGAACACTTATCTTGCCGTCTTTGCTCCCTATCCATAAAAGACCATCCGGGCCTATTGCAATTGACCAAGGTTTATTAATACCATCATTGGTTGTCAATACCTCATTTAACTCGTTGTTGCTGTCCGGCATTTTAAGAATTCTACTGTTCATATAATCTGCTAAATACAAATTTCCATTTTTATCAGTGCAAATGCCACGAGGACATATTTTGTCTTTCTTGTCTCCATTTCCCGCAGAGAAATACTGCCTTTCAACATATCCTACTTTGTTCAAAATTGTCAAACAGTTTCGTTTCCAGTCTGAAACAGCTACCAATCCATCGTTTTTTATCACAACTCTGGCAGGATATTCAACAGTTGGATTACCAGCATATATTTGAACATTAGGAATTTCATACTTGGCTCCTGTCGGCATTATACGAACAATTTTATTACTATGTGTGGAATCATGATCAAAGAAAGCATTTTTCTCCGTCAAGCATACGTATATTGAGTTATCATTTTGATCAACAGCAACACCACGACAGCACAGCTCCGTATTGATGGAAGCGACTTCTTTTATATCTCTGTCAAACACTTTAACTATCTTTGATGCATTTCCGCTTATGATGATGTTTTGTTGAGTTGAAATGATATCGTCGGCTTGAATTCCAACACTAACCTGCTTGTGAACTCGACCAGAAGAATCATACAATTTCATATCACCCTCTCCGTCTATCACCCATATCCTTTCATCTTCCAGTGGAATCATTGATAAAATAGTAGTGCTTTTCTCTGTATAAAAATCATATACTTTAATGTTTGTTTCATCGTCGAGTCCATCGCCCACCAGAACATCTCCGAAGAACGGTAGAAGTTGATCGGCCGTTGCTTTCCCTGGTTTGAACATTGGGTATTCATAAGTATGAGATAACTTAAACTGAGTGTAATCTTTTTGTTGTTTTGAACTTTCGAGAGATCTGGTAAGATGATCACAAGTATTCACTATTTCAATATCATCTGCTTTCTGGTAAAGATTGCGCGAATGAAGTAAGAGCTCAGCAAATGATAGGATATACTTTTCAAATACCTCCATCTTCTGCTTTAATGGTTGAATTCGTTTCTTTGTTATGTCACTTGTTCTCTTTATTAGTATATTTTTTATTTCCTCGACTATCGCTATAAGTTGGTCTGCCATGTCTGAAACTTTCTTTATTGTGCGCTTTTCGCCTTTTCTATTCTGTTCTATTTCCTTGGAGAACATTTCCCTCCTCTCTGCTAGCCAAGTGATATAATTCTTATGTTCTCTATGTTCTGATTTCATTTTCAGTTTGTTTCTCAATTTAGATGCTACTTCCGATGCGTGTTTAGAAGCATGATTTTTATGAACCGTTAAATTACAGTGTTTGCAAATAAGCTGATTACATTCAACACAGTAATAAACCATTTTCTCCTCAGGGTGAACTTTACAATATATATCCCTTAATACTCTTCCTGGTTTCCGTTGCTTATCGAAATCAACAAGATGGTGTTCCCTGGTGGTTGTGATTCCTCCATGTGATCTAATACAACTTCTACAGAAATCTTGATTACATTCAATACAGTGAGATTTGGCAAATTCCCTCTCGCCACAAATTGAGCAGTGAATGCCAAATTGAACAGTGGCAAAGTCAATATAAATATTCTTTTTCAGATCCTTCACTCTTTCTGGCCTTTCAGTTTTTTTTTCACAGAGCGGACATTCAATGTGTGTATCCTCGAATGTTTCAATATATGCTTCTAGACAATCCAAGCAAAACGAATGACAACAGTCTAATAGTCTAGGGTCTTCAAACGGTTCAAGACAGAGAAAACATTTCACATTCTTCAATAACAGCTCCGTTACACGATCTCTGTCCGACATTGCTTCATACAAGAGTTTAAAAAATGACAAAATGTTCTACTTATATATGTCATTTTGATTTTGGTTGCTATCATCTGTAATCAATGAACATCCTCTTCCCATTTTAAAGTTAGATAGATGATAATAAATATTTAATATTTGATCTTCATAGTATGTAAATATGAACTCGTAGTGGTTCTATTTGATGAAGGGATTGTTTTTTAATTGCTCGCAATAATTCTCAACAAACAAAAACTAAATTTAACATTGTCGGAATTTATTCATCTGCCACAGTTCCTTTTTTGAAATCCATATATTCACATATATATAGTGCTACTATTTTGCTAAACTTCCCTGAAACATTCGCTAAATTTGTCTGTAAAATTGATTGACTGAAAATTATTATTATTTATTAAACAGATTTCTTTAATAAAATTGAAATAGGACCTTTTGAAGTCGTTACAATTATTCAGAATCGATGTTACCATGGACAAACAATACCTATGGAAAACAAAAGAATTTTTATTAGGTAATTTCAATACATGTTTGTTGAACAAATATTTCAATTATTCATTTAAACGGATTTTCCCCCCGTTTTTAATTAATTGATTGATTGAGGTTATTCTGTTTACAGTCTTTATATAAGCCCCTTATCCTTTGTTACTTTTTCAATATCAGTGTTCGGTTCATTTCTTGACTCAAATAATTGTTTTATTGGTGTTTTGTTTTAATTCCAAATACATTTTAGATTTTTTTTTGCAGCCAATTAATTCATTGTGATTGATTTGTTATTTTTTTTATCCGGAACTGTGGGCAATTATCAGATCAAATGACGTTAAAATACTCCCTCGTTTCATTCATTCTGTGTCTGTTAGTTTTCCTTGTTTTAAGAATCTAATTAAGGGAACGAAAGTAACATAAGTTCCTTCTTTTTCGCGCGTATGCGAATGCTCAATAATTTATCGTAGAAGAATGAACAGCACTTAGGGAGCTACCATTTGATTTTTTATGGGGGGGGGGGGGGGTGCTAGGATGAAAAACTGTGTCCTGCATTTTTTTTAGTTGTAATCTCTGTCTTGCCTTTTTATTTTTCACTCTAGTTGCTCATCCTGCCTTTTTTTTAACTCAAAACTCCTGTCCTGCCTTTTTTTCAAACTTCATCCTAGCCCCCCATAAAAATCAAATGGTAGCTCCCTTACTCCTCTTTCTGTAACAATTTCCTCGAACTCTCAAGTATTCCTTGCACAGACAAATCATTCAAAGTTTTCAGGCAATAATATTATTTTGAATAATATGAATAATTTTTATGATACGACTGCAGAACTTCTTCATTTTCGATTTTTACGGTAAATTTAAACTACATAGCAAAGGTTATCAAAAAGTATGCAGATTAACAACTTCCCTGTGCGTTTGGTCCAAAGTGATTACGTTTGGATTAGAATTTATGAGTTTTGATTTTGGCACCTCTCCGACTGATTTTAAGTTTCTGAACGGAAAAAAAGTCGATGTCAGATGAAATTGTTTGAATAAAATATATCCACATGTTTGAGAAATGGATTTTTAAAGAAATTATCAAAAAAAGACTTAAGGGGACTTGAAATATGACGTGTTCTTACAATTAAATACAGAATTATAAAAATTCAGTTTTTATTTTCGTAAAGTCATAAGTGTGGTATTCCTAATCCTGTGAAATTTTAAAATCAAAAACTGTATCTGCATTCAAATATTCGTACATTTATCACTATCAGAGTCGTATATTGGCAACTTTTATCACTACCACCATGTCCATACCAATAAAAAAAAAATTTGTTGTGAAAAAAATCGAATTCGAAAATCAAGACACCAATAACTTTTAACACCCCACATGCCAAATACATGCCAATAAATCGTTGTTAAACAATTACTCGGCATTTGTTTAAACGAATAAAATAGCTTTAATAATAAAATAAAATGGCTATTCTATCCATAAATAAAGCTGTTCTGTACCGAAGAATGAAAGGAGCACTTTTAAACATTTGTCAAATATACAAAATATATCAGAAAAACTTTATTATAGCTTCATTTTTTTTCTCGTAACGTTTGAACCAGCCACCTTAGACAGGTTACCATAAGCACTTGCATATATATCCATGCTTTATTGATATGGGGTTTATGAAAAAAGTAAACAGTAGTGTACAAATATACACAAGCTATCAAGTTCATTCTTGGTAAAAGAGGGACGAAAGATACAAGAGGGACAATCAAACTCATAGATCGAAAACAAACTGACAACGCCATGGCCAAAAATAAAAAGACAAACAGACAAATAATAGTACAGATGACACAACATAGAAAACTAAAGACTAAGCAACACGAACCCCACCAAAAACTGGGGGTGATCTCAGGTGCTCCGGAAGGGTAAGCAGATCCTGCTCCACATGTGGCACCCGTGGTGTTGCTTATGTTATTACAAATCCGGTAAATAGTCTAATTTGGTAGGTCACATTCGTGAAAAGGGAAGGGTATTGTAGTTACGACATAAGGAACATATCCGGTATCATCTGTGAAACGGTTATTCCATAACGGTCAACCAACTCGTGATGGCGTCCGTAAAATTTACGAAGGGATGATTTCAACTTCCCCATTTGGAACTCTTGGTTTAATAGCTTCCTTGTGTAAATATGTACATTGGTAAATATAGTAATTTACCAATGTTCAAGTCTCATATACGATTAAGAAGATACAATACAAATAAAAGGTAACAAACGAAAACTAAGAAAATGCATGACATCAGAAAGAAGCAAAACCGGCTACGTCTGCAGGGTAAACATCTCCTACTTTCATGCATTATCCTCCATGCGAATCCACACTCTGTCAAAGATAGTTAAACATAAAATATAAGTAGTTTAGATTGCAGTCATTCTTCATCATGACTCTGTTGGGTCAGTTTGTTTTCAATCGTCTTGTTTAAGTCTTTTGTGTTGAGTGGGAAGCAAGAAATGACGAATATTTACAGTGTCACTGTTTGAACAGAGAGTACTGTCACTTCTGGAGCAGCGGAGTTCATCCCCGGTTTTCGATTGGATTAATGTTGCGAGATCAATGTTTAAATTTCTGTTTATTGTTTTATGGACTGTTATTAGTATGTTCATCTTTTTTGTTTTGAACATAATGATTTCTGTATTAAAAAAAAAAACATCACACTTCATTTTATGATTGAATAATAAATAAAAATATTTTACTTAATATTGTTTTAGGGGCACACTTATAAAAGTATTGAAATTTCAGTGTTAAAAACTGATGAACAACTAGAGAAAATTAAATATTTACTTATAACTAAATAAAAAGCATTATTTACTAAGATTTAGTTATAATTTACATCAAAAGAATCTTTTCATGATTAAAGATAATTAACTATTAATTAAAAAGGCATAAATAATTATAAACAGTGCCGTTATTAAACTGTAAGATTAGGCCAATCCAAGCAACTTTGAACTAAGTTAAAATCAGACATGAAGACCGATGTTACTGGAAATGTTCTACAAATCAACATACCAACCAACGTGACTACTAACCACAATCACCAATTTTACACAGTGCAATTCAAAGTAGATACCAGACAACCGTTCCTTCTTGCAGGTGATAAAACCAAGTCGATTGCTTGTCTTCAGTACACAACAAAACATCACACAAATAGCTGCAGTAGACATTATCTACTGCAGAGTACATTCTATGTATGTCCAACACTATTCTGCCAGATGTACATTGTTGAAGGGCGATGTTACTTTGTATCCACTTGTTTACAGTATTTTACAAACACTGCTGGTGGACGTTTCGTCCCCGATGGTATCCCCAGCCAAGATGTCAGCAGTTTTGTGTTGACATGAAACATCAATGATACGTTCATTTTCTTAAAAAAAACTGATAATAAAATGTTGAATCATTCGAATCACTTATGTTTTTCTATCCCATGCATAGATAGCCGTAGCCGTATTTTGCACAATTTTTTAGGAATTGCTGGTTTTCAATTTTCTTCAAATTCGTCTTTGTGATTTTGCCTTGAAACTGTTTTGATTCAATAACCACTGAAGAGTCTCATGTAGACGAAACACGATTCTGGCGTACCAGTTTTTCACTACAAGTTCTGTATCTTTAGGAACGAACACATATATGGTTTGCAGACAGCAAAGACAGAGAAAGAAAACTTCCATCAACTTGTTTGCAGAGCTGCAGTTGTATCACTTCTACCACGCATCACATTTGATTATGTTTGGTTTAATACACTCGAAGACATCGATGACGCATACAGATACTAACATACCAACTCTTTTCACAGACTACGCATTTAGCTACTGAATGGAAAGAAAAAATGCGTACTGATCATTTCTCAACAGAAAGACCCACAATAACCAACCATCTGGAAGACTGACACAATAAATTGAAGAAGTAGGTCAAAGCTCATTACTTCAACATATTAAGCATACTTACGCTGCTGAGACACAAGGAAGACATGCATGCATGCACCCCCTTAGTTAAGAAGCTAAGTTTCCAACTTCATCTGGAAAAGTAGACCTTAGATGGATTTGGCTAATAGTATTCTTTTCAGGTCCCCTTTGATCTTTTATCTTCTCACGTATACAAGTATTTTTACATATTTTGCTTTCATTTTGGGGGTTTGAGCGTTCCTGATAAAGGTCAATCAAGAAAAGAGCTTCAGGCGCACACATTTGATAAAGTATTATTTTCATCTTCTAGTCTCTAGCATTGTATTGAAACCGCTGTTGGTTAACTATATGTTTCCGATGGAATCAGCAGGTTAGTAGTCAGTTCTTTTGTACTAACATGATTTATGACATACCTTTCTTAAATTCTCCGTTGTTAAATTAAGAAATTCTAATTCCTACTACCTCAGGTCAAAATGGACCTTAAATACATTTGACTATTTTTTATGTCATTTTTTGTTTTATAGCTCTTCACGTGTTCATGTACTTATATACATCCTTCCGTTTCAATTATAATGGTATAAACGTTCTTGATGACGGTATACACACAAAACAATACATTGTGATTTGTAACAGAAAAACATTTTTTTTCTTACATTGAAATGAAATATTAAAAGTTCATATAGATATAGACATGATTGAGCTACATATATTTCTTCATTTTATATAAATCATGTACATTTAATTCCAGGCAGGACCAGAACCATAAAATCATTACCATAATCATCGTCATTACGTATATTAATTTACGTTTCGTCTAACATCTAGAACATAATTTCCTAATATTTTAGGACAGACAAATTTTCATTAGTCAATAACCAAACAAATTTTGCCTGATTTGAGAGATCTGAAATACTATGACAAATACCGTTTATTTCCT